AAATTAGGGATGGCTAGCTCAGATAACCCTCGCGTAGCTTTGCACAAAATTACAAACAAATAGACAAACTCAACAAGACTTATGGAAGAACTTGAGTGCAAAGAGCTTAAGTAGGCAGTAAATACTACAGATCCTTATTTTTCTGTAAATTTCTAACCCATGTGTGCATTGATGTGGGTCAAAATGTGCATGTCACAACCTTTTACAGAGTGCCAATTAACATGGTATTATATACTTGATCTCACTTGTCAATTATTCATTTTACCCTACATTGCTGCTTTAGCAACACTTCATAGTAGAAGACTATAAATACCAGATATAATATACAGGAATACTGAAAAACTGTAGATATTCATTGTGGAAGTCCTAAAGGTTAATCAAATGCAATATGCAAACTACACGATGCACAAAAGTATTTATATTCTTCACATGAACGTCACCTTCCACTCTGAGTGTTAAAGGTTTTTTTTTCAACATTTAATTGTTTTTCTCCATAAATATCAGTTTATTAAGAGTGAACAGCTGTTAGGCAACAACTGTTTCATTTTATGTGGTGGCTGGTAAAATAATTAGTAATTGTAATTGGCAGTGTTTTTTCCTAGTGGAAGGGTTGTTCTGTTTCAGTTTGGTAGTCTTTTAGTGAATGTTAAAAGTCTGTTGTACACAAAAGTAACACATTTTTCATTAAAGTATTGCTACTAAAGATTTGTCGGTGAATTTCCTAAGCCTTTACTGAGTCAGTCTGATTTCATGCTAATAATAAAAATACTTCTTTTTATTATACAGTTTTTATATATCATTTACATAACCCCTAGAAGCTTCTAGATGAATATCAAAAGTGTTTTTGGTAAAACTATATTTTATATTTTATTTTCTCTACCCTTGATCTAACTCTACAGAAATCTTCAGTGCATATTGAAATGAAAAGTTGATAAATATGAAATGATATTATTAACTTATTTTAACAGTTTCAACTGTTAACCACATCAGTTTTTATTATCTGGTTTTATTGCTTTGCCTTTTAATCACTGGAGTAGTAATCCTCGTGTCATCAGCAAGAAATCGCAGTGGAAGCCCGTTAGCTGTTTCCTGTACGACTAATGTAACCAGCGTGTGATCTGAATGTCA